TACACTCTCACAGTCATAACAAATATGCCTGTAATGGAAAGGCACATGCTTGTTTTACACACACACTGTCATCAAACAGGAACACACAAAGAGATACCCAAACATACACACAGGCCTTCATTCTCCAATGCACACAGACACACAGGCATATCAGATACAGAGGCCTACTGGTAACAATCTCAGATGCACATTTACACACATACTTAAGCAGGGACACACACCCTTTCCCCCAACCCCCACCAGTCACTGGTCTCTGGAGGGAGAAGCTGCACCAGGCCCCTCTCCTCCCCTCCCCCCACCCCCCAGGGGTATGACAGATCATGTCCAGCCCAGGAGGGACCATAAAAGGGGTAAAGGGGCTTCTGGTGGCAATGCAGGGTAGGGGCAGAGGTCAGGAGCAGCAACCCTGACAGGTTCCTGAAGCTTAATTGGGGCCCCGCGTATCCCCAGTGCAGCCCGGACTCAAGCCATACTCACCGCTGCTCGCCTGGAGCTGGGGCCGAGGAGAGGCAAAGGAGAGGCTGGGCCCGGCTCAGCTGTGAAGGCAGCGCGGCTCCCGCTTGCTCCCGCTTTCTCCAGGCCCGCCCGCCTCTGAGTCCCTCCTCCTTCCCCCTACGCGCGGCTCCCGCAGAGCTAATCCCACCCCACCCCCCCACCCCCGGCCTCTCCCAGGGCCCTGGGCCCTGGAGGCTGCTCCCCCTTTCGACGTTAGGTCCCCGCTGGGCTCTCGCGCCAACCTGAGACCTGCCCCTGACGAAGGGGAGGACATATGGAGCCCCTGGTTCTGTTCCCCAGATCTTCATGCGCCCCACCCCAATCGTGTCCACATCCCTTTCGCCCAGCGCCCAGTGAGCCACCCGCAGGACCCAGTTGCACACGCGTGTCCCGCTCCAGACCCCACGCGTGTCCCTAGGAGGTTGCCACATGACCTGTTACATGCCACAACGCGCTCCCGCCCCCACGAGCACGCGGCCGCGCCAAGCACACGGTATGGGTGTAGACCGGACCCATCCCCTAAATCCAGGAGACCATCAATTTATGGGAGAGAGATTTAGAGATCACTGCCTCAAACCCTCCAGGGTTCTGAGTCTTGGACCCAGGAAACAACCCTGACCACTTGCCCAGGATGCAGTAGGAGGGATGTTAGCCAGACTTCAGGAAGAACTTCCTTGCTGCCTGAGTTAGGTGTTCTGCCCGTCTGAGGGTAAGAGGTTAGACGGGATGAGACCGGGACTACAGGAAGTGGGGGACAGGCAACCCTTGTGCCCTTGGCCAAGGTAAAAGGGGGCCCAGTTATTTTAAGAAAGCGCCGCTAGAGTTACTATGGCAACTGCTCTCCTTGGGAAAGCTAGGGCAAGCAGATGGTGACCTCGGAAGGAAGAAGGGGTCTGTTCGGGCGGTCAGGGAGTGGGGGGGTGGGCACGAGGTACGTGCGAGGCGGGGGCGCGCGGGGCTCACCGCGGGGAGGGGCGGCGCGGGCTCCGCGTGGTGCTGAAGGGGACAGCGCCAGATTTGTCGCACTGCGCAGGCGCAGAGGAGTTAACAAAGCGGGGAGGGGGAGAAGGCGCGCGGCCCGAGGCGGTGCGCGCCCACGTGGCTCTTAGCAGAGGTCGGTTTTTCCAGCAATCCCTTTCCCAAGCAGGCTGAGAAAGGAGCAAGTCCCTCAACCAAGTTGATCCTCTTTGGTCCTTCCTTGCTGCTGGCTTCTTTCCTCTCGCTGCATTGGGGGATGGGGGAGTGTGGAAAGAATTCTGGGAATACCAGGATGCCTGAGTTCTCTATCCCGACTCGCTTGACCCTGGACAAGGCGCTTCTTCTGCAGGGTTTTGATTTCATCTTTAAAGCGGAGTGAAAACACAGACCTGCCCAACTTGCAGAGGTGCCCGAAGCCCTGATAATGGATGGGAAGCAGTTTTAGTTATGAAGAGGCAGGTGAAGCTGTTGCACCAAAGGAGAGCTCAACCTTGCTGGGGGGCAGCTTTCAGCGACAGCAGTAGCTCTAGGCACTCTTTACACCCTGGCCACCGACGGATAAGGAAAACACTGCTCCAGGGGCGGACCCTGGAACCAAGACGTGGGCACGCGGTGAGAGGGCGGCCCAGAGTCTGTGCTCAGAGCTTTGGGGCGTCACTGTCCCAGGGTGGCCCAGACCCAGACCCAGACCCTACAAATAAACCCCCAGGCCAACCGAGAAGCAGTACTCCCGGTGGGCTGAGCCGAGCATGCATTCTTCTTAGGACTTTAGACCACCTGGGGAAGGAAAGGGACCTGGGTGGAGATATAGTCCTTCTTGGCACTCCCAACGTTTCTCCCCCCAGCTGTAAATTCGTTCCAAATCGTTCGGGAGTGGAAGGGGCTGGATAGCTCTGTACTTCAGCTAACTAGGAATGGGAGGTTTGGGCAAGTTTGCTTGATGAAGAAAAATTCGAGCTTTGCCCATTCAATTCATTCAACTATTATCTAGCACCTACTACGTGCCAGACAGTAAGAGCCTGGATAGTTTCTTCCCATTTCTCAAAGTAAGTAAAAGCAACCAGAGGGCAGAGGGGTAGGCCCAGAACCTTGGAGTCCTGGCTCCGCCCCTTCTGCGTTTGGCCTTGTCTGCTCCTCCCATCACCAGAGGCAACCACTGGACCAAAACGAAAAAAGCCAGTCTCTGCTGCACCATCGCGTTCTCTAGCCTCGGCTCTCAAGCCCTGCAGCGGAGAAGGCGAGGTCTCATGTTACACCATAGGTCTGTTCCGCCCTCAATTTCAGGATCCATCCGGAACGCTTTCAGATAGGATCCTCAGTGAGACGGCACTCGATTAAATCGGTCTGTCACTACAGCCCAAGGAGGCGGGTTCGCGGCGGCTGCTCCTAGGCCGAAGCTAGAAGACCGTACTACGCACGCGCAATAGACAGCCGATGGAGCCACGGATGGAGCCGTCCGGAGGGGAGCAAGAACCCGGAGCCGTCAGGTACCGAGCACCGGAGGGGCCGAAAGAAGGAAAGACCTGGAAGAGGGGAACTGAACCCGGGCGGGGCATGGGGGCCGCTCTTAGCAGCCTGGGCGCAGGAGCATAACAGAGGCAGACTCGCAGGTAACAGCGGCCAGGGGACGTCGCCGCCAACGCCCTTTTACCCGCAGGCTCCTGGACCTGCCCTGGGAAGACGTGCTGCTCCCCCACGTCCTGAGCCGGGTACCGCTGTGCCAGCTGCTCCGGCTGCAGCGCGTCAGCCGGGCTTTCCGGGCCCTAGTGCAGCTGCACCTGGCGGGGCTGCGCCGTTTCGACGCCGCGCAGGTGAGCCAGGGGCCGGAGCCCCACCCCCGTCTGGGTAGCCCCCAGCCACTCTGTCTACTCTTCCGGACCCCTTCGGGTCTCCAGGAATGCCCAGGAAGCGATCCACCCAGCGGGAAGTACTCTCAGAGGGCGAGTACTGGGGATCAACTCGGAGGGCACGTGGGGTCTCTCCTGGGAGGGCAGGTGGAAAGCCCCCGAGGGTAGGCTGCTGCCAGGAACGAACTCCTCAGGGGTAGATAAGCAGCGCCCGCCCCGCCCCCGGGACCAGCTGAGAGTCGAGGTGCCTCCCCGCCCGCAGGTGGGTCCGCAGATCCCGCGGGCCGCATTGGCCTGGCTGCTGCGGGACGCGGAGGGGCTGCAGGAGCTGGCGCTGGCGCCGTGTCATGAATGGCTGTCCGACGAGGATCTGGTGCCGGTGCTGGCGCGGAATCCGCAACTGCGGAGTGTGGCGCTGGCCGGCTGCGGGCAACTGAGCCGCCGCGCGCTGGGGGCGCTGGCGGAGGGCTGCCCCCGCCTGCGGCGCCTGTCGCTCGCGCACTGTGACTGGGTAGACGGGCTGGCGCTGCGCGGTCTCGCCGATCGCTGTCCGGTCCTTGAGGAGCTGGACCTCACCGCCTGCCGTCAGCTCAAGGATGAGGCCATCGTGTACCTGGCGCAGAGGCGCGGCGCAGGCCTCCGCAGCCTCTCGCTGGCAGTCAACGCCAATGTGGGGGACACCGCCGTCCAGGAGTTGGCTCGGAACTGCCCGGAACTCGAGCACCTCGACCTAACTGGCTGCCTCCGCGTTGGAAGCGATGGCGTCAGGTGCCTGGGCCTGGGGTCCTTTGGATGGGAAGAGTGCAAGCACTTAGCCTCTGGGTGTAGGGGCGGGCAGTAGTTAGTCTAAAGGCAGAACTGCGGTTTCTGGATCTTCTTGCTACCAGGCACCCCCATTCTGAACAGGAAAGGCCTCTAGGATTGTCTAGACCAGAGAGCCCATAGTTTAAAAAACTTTTTTGAACCAGTATTTACACATTGGCAGTATTAACGTACAGTCAGATTTCTGGCTTTTCTTCAACCAGGGGAACTGCAGCTCCCCATTTAAGAGACAGTAAGTCTCCATTTCATTGAAGGCACTGAGTGACTGCCTTCTGGTATGACGCCATTCCAGCCCCCTCCCTCGTGTATGGAAGAAAAAAGTATGCCCCGAGATGGAGGGAGACGGGCTTTGCTGGCTTCCTCACCGTGGGTGTATCGGTTTCGTGCCCTTAGCCTTACCCCGCTCCTCCCCCAGGACATTGGCCGAGTACTGCCCAGCGCTGCGCTCGCTGCGGGTGCGGCACTGCCACCATGTGGCTGAGCCCAGCTTGAGCCGCTTGCGGAAGCGCGGTGTGGACATCGACGTGGAGCCGCCGCTGCATCAGGCCCTGGTGCTGCTGCAGGATATGGCGGGCTTTGCACCCTTTGTCAACCTGCAGGTCTGACCCGCCCGTGGATGGGGCACAGCTGGACTGTGTGGCGGGGCCTGACTATGAACTGCAGGGAAACTGGACTGTGGTGGCCTCTGGTGAGAGGCCAATGCCCTGCCTCACCCTGGAGCTTCAAATAAAGAGCTTTTTACCCCCTCCTGCCTGGCGCTGCTGCCCTGTTGGAGATAGAGGATGTGAGGTTGGGAGAGGTCAGACAGACACAGTCCCCCAACATCCCAGCTCTGAGGCAGAAATGACCAGAATGCACTCATCTTCCTGGGGCCACCTTTACTGTGCCCATGGGCAGCTCCAAGAGGAGGTTACACTGGGGCAAGGAGGTAAGAGAAGGAGTCAGGAGTTAGGGCGGGCCCTGTGTGGGGGTGTAGGGCTCCTGCATCCCTCTGGGATCTGAGCCTAGAAGGCTCTAGCAGAGTCCACCGAACGCCTCAGTGGAAGCGGTATTTTCTGGCCGGCTTGAGGTTGATGTATGTGGCCTTCATCTCCTCGGCCTCAGGGTTCCGCACATCTTTGAATCGCTCCCCCTTGGTGCTCACTACCTGGTTGTCAATGTATCGGATTAACTTCTTGGGAGCCTGTCAGGGAATCAGGCAGTGAGTAGCAGAAACCAGGAGATAGTCGCACCCATTCCACACCCCTGGCAACCCCAACTCTCACCTCCTTGGGAGCCATGGGCCGGTGAATCTTCTGATCCTCTGCGCTATCCACCATCATGTACCTGCCAAAAACTGGCTGCGTGAAGCTCCTGCCACCCTGGGAAAACCCTTTAAGTGCCCAGCCCAGCCCAGACTCACTTCTGCAGAATGAAGGACTTCAGCTCATCCTTTTGGGGGCCTCTGAGGCGCCTGGGCAGGTCCTGCAGAGAGGGGAAGCCTGGTCTAGACCCTAGGGCACCAGCAGGAGAGGCATATGGCAATAGGCCAGGGGAAGGGGCTTAACACTAAGGTGGAATGTGGCTGGGGCTACAGGGGTTGCAGGGCTCTAGCAGAGGATACCTGATTGGAGCCATCCCAGGCTGTAGGCCCCTCCTCCTTCCCCTCTACCAGCATCTGCACAGCTTCTTCCAAGTCCCCCCGAGCTTTGGCCAGCACCCACTGGGCCTGCTCCACCGAACAGGTAGGGAACACTTCCAAGAGTACATCCACCCCTGGCAGCAGCTCCTCCTCAGCACTAGCTGCCTGTGGGCATAAATGTTCACAAAAGTCAGTACTTCCTCCTTTCCTGCCCCCTAGCTCCCTCATCAGTCCCCTTCTGTATCAGTACCTCATCTTGGGTGTCCCCAGCAGCAGAAGCCCTGGTCTCTTCTTTGAGCTTTTCAGGCCGCTGCAGGGGTTCTGAGGAGATGGGCACCTGACCTTGGACCTCAGAGCTCTGTGGTTGCAGGTTCTCTTAAAGAGGCAGAGGGAGCACCAGGTTTGCTAAGGCTTTGGGGAGGGGGTTAATGAGTCATCCAAGTGCCCAATCCCCAGACTCACCTTTGTTCCTGGCACCACTCAACTGCCCTGAGAGTTTCTGCATCATGTCCCCTATTGTATTCCTAAAAAGACAAGGAGGGTGGTAAGAGGACAACTCCGCCCCCCCCCCCAGTCAACCAGCACCCCGCACTCCCCACCCCCTTGGCTCCAGCCAGGCCTCACCTTGGGATGTGGGCAAAGCCAGGCACATAGGCCTCCATCATCTCAGTGAAGGCCTCCATATCGAAGTTCTCCTCCGACGGGCCCGAGGGGCCCAGGTCCTCCAGGACACCGAGTACATAGGAGAAGATGACCTCATCCAAGCCACTGCAGGAAGGGGACAAGACAAGCTGTGGGTAGGACTTTGGATGCCTCCAGCACCCCCACCTAGCCTGAGGCTCTAGCCCTAGGCTTCATAGGGTCCATGACCTCAAGCCTTGAAGCCAGAGAATATCCCACCCTCCCTCAGAGCTTTGGCTTCCCATCTTTCCAAAAAGGGTGACCGGGACAGTATATGAAGTAAGGCCATACCAGTAAATCATAATCAGCCCTCCCCCACCTCAGGAATAGGGAGGGCTGACTGTTCCCACCCCAGTCTTTCCATTGGCCAGCGCCCAGAGTACTGCCCAGCAGCTCCAACCCTGGCCCTGGCAAGATCCTTCTAAGGAGAGCTGTGTCTACCTGAAGTCAGCCTCTGGGAGGTGCGTCTGGACAAAAGCAAGGAGGGCTGCACTGACAATCCTCTCCAGCTCCATGCTCTCGCCTCTTCTGAAGGGACACAAGTTGTAGGTTTATCAGGCCCTCTCCTGCCTGCCCCTACTCACTAACTCCTCCTTCCTGCCCTGTTGTGGAAACCATTTGTTGATGTTGTCCATAGCTTCGTTCTCCAGCCCTCCCCCGCTCCCTCAAGCAGAGCTACAGCCCCCCTCCCTGCCCATCTCTCCACCTCCTCCAGCCTGGGACAGGGCAGGGCACTGTCTCAGGAGAAGGCCTCCAGAGTGGCAGTTCCCCTCACTCCTCCCCCTGACCTCTTTCCATCTCTCCACTTCATTCGCAAGCAGCAGGCCCAGACTTTATGGCAAGAAGCCAGGGTCTTGGGGTCACATGCCTCCTGACTGAGGAATCCTATCATTGAGAGAGCCACTTGGCCCCCAAGTCCAACCACAAGGGGCCCATTGTCCAGACCCCCAAGGAGCAGGCCTCAGGACTGAGCACAGCCCTTCCCCCACCTAGAATGGGCCACCCACCTCTGGCACAAAGGGGCTTTTCTGGCTCTGGGGCCCAGATAGGAGGGTAACTCTTTCATGAATTCTCTCTTCCTGCCCAGTTCTTGCTCTTCCAGCAGCTTGGGACTGTCTACAAAGGACTTCCCATCCTCCTTCCCAAGCCCTATAAGGTCTGCCCTTTGTCCACTCCCGCCTCCCTCCTCACTGCACTCCCACCCTACGAGCCTCCTCATTTTCCTCAGACCTGCCCAGCTGCTTTACCTGTCTTCTCCAGCTGTCCACACACTCATTCCCTCACCTCCTCCAGGGCTCCGCTCAAATGTTGCCTCCTTAGAGAGATCTTCCCTAAGCTACCAAAATAGGTATTCCCCATACTCCCTAATCCCTTATCCTGTTTTATTTTCAATATAGCATTTATTACAGCTTAATGTTATTTTAGGTTTATTTGCCTATTGTCTGTCCTCCCCCACAGACTGTAAGCTTCAAGAAAAGGTAGGTACAGGGCCGGCCGAGTGGCGCGATGGTTAAGAACTCGCTTGGGATGCCAGAGGGCCCTGGTTCGGATCCCACATATGAGGGCCAGTGACACTGCCCTCCACAGCTAAGATGCTGAACAACAGCTCAACCTGGAGCTGGGTTGCCATGAGTCGCCGGCGACGGCGTAGGCTGCAGCCCCTGTGGCAGTGGATTGCCATGGGCTACCGTGTGTAGCCAGCAGCCAGCGTGAGCGGCCGTCCAGAAGCCGGCGACTGATCTGCCTTGCCAGGGAAGAGCGCAATGACGGTGCCAACTTGGGCCAGTGAAGCAACATCCTCCACAACTAGATTGAAGAACAAAAATGACAGCAACTTGTCTGTTCCCCTTCCCCCAATTCCCCAGCACTGTTCCCATCCCCCCAATTCCCCAATAAAAAAAATCTTAAAAAAAAAGAAAAAGAAAAGGTAGGTACAGGATGGGGAGTGGGGGGACTTTGTCTTATTCACTGGTGTAACCCTAGCACCTAGAAAAGTGCCTGCACTTGTAGGTGCTCAATAAATACTTATTGACTTATTTAATTCCCACCTCATGTGCTTGACTCCCAAGTCTGTATGGAGGAGTCAGTAACACATAGGTGGTAATAAAGGCTCCAGACCCCTAGGTCCAAATGTCAGCTCTCCATTCCACTCAGAAGATTCAGAGGTACCTCAAATTCCATCTACTCCAAATTCACTATATCCTTCCAATCTATGTACCTTTCCTCTCCAAATAGGCACCTCCTCCTGTTTTACCGGCTGACAAAACCACTCACTCACTCAGCTGCCAAACCTAAAACTTGAGGATTACCCTTGATTTCACCCTCTCTGAATCTCACCTGCTGCACTCAATCAGTCACCAAGTCCTGTTGACTCTATTCCCTCATTCGTCTCCATTCTATCTGCTTTTCCCCAACTCTAGTCCGGTTTCTCTGCCAACATCTCTACCAAAATTTCTCAGGCTAAGGTCACGAGTTACTTTTTTCAGGTTTTGCTCTAATTAGGTTAAACCCTATGAGCTTCCCAATATTGCCAATTTTTTATCTACAAAATAAAAAGAAAAAGGCAATTTCTTATGGTTTCACCTAATATTTGCCCTTTCAAGCAGCACCAATGTTGGTTTCTGAGGCTACACACTCTGTTTCTCTTCTGCCTCTGGCCATTTCTTCCCAGACACCTCTCTCTGTCCCCCTCTCCTCTGCAACCCTCCAAAGGGTGGCAGCAAAGCTCAGGCTCAAGGCTGCTCCTCCTCTCTCCACACTCTGCACCCTCTCTCTCTGGAACATCGCATCTGGGCCCACATCCCTATGTACCAACTCCATGTCACCAATTCCCAAATGTCCAATCCTCTGGTCCAGTCTCCTCTTCTGAGGTACACACCTGTACATCTACCACTCTAACACCTCCAAGTGGATGAATAGCATGTCTCAAACTGACATTCTCCCAAGTCTTTACTCCTCCCAGGCTATCCTCAGTAAATGCATGTCCATGCACCCAGCTGTTCCTGCCACAAGTCTGGGAATTAATCCTCGACACCATCCTACTTCCTGCCTTCCCACATCCTATCAGTCACTATCCCCTGACCAGTATCTCTCAACACCTCTACTTCTCTCCATCTCTACTCCCACTCTGCTTCATCTCTTCTTAACTGCAAGAGCTTCCTAATCCTTCTCCCCATGACCATCTTTCCCCAACAACCTATTCTCCACAAAGATCCCGGTTGTGTGATCTTCACCAAAAATCATGTTTTTCCTGATTAAAATCTATCAGTGACTTCCAATTTCCCTTCAGATAAGTCCAGATTCTTTTTGTGGCCTTTTAATTCAGAGCCTTATACCTGCCTACATCTCTCTAGCCTTACCATGAACCACACCCTCCCTGGATCACTCCCCGGCACCCTGGCTTTCTTTCAATTTGCCAACACTCAAGCTCTTTCATGGCAAGGGCCTCTGCACAAACGGTTTCCTCTGCCTGGGCAATCTTCCACCTCCACCCCTTCACTTGTCTAATTCTGTCAGGTCTCAGTTTATAATTCTCTTCCTTAAGGGATGCTGTCCCTGACCCTTTAGAACTCCATATTATGCCCTCATTGCAGACTGCCCTTTTCCTTAGCAGCACCTCCCCCAGCCCCCAGCTTTTTAAAATAACATTTTGAGCAATGTTTAATGTTTCTTCCAGTTGTTTTATGAGGGTAGGGCTTACATACCTGGCTTATTCATCATGTACACTCACTATCTGCCATGAAGTAGACAGACGCTCATCAAATAGTTATTACCCACTTTACAGATGAAGAAACTGAAGCTCAGTGGGTTTAATGACGTGCCCAAAGTCAGCTGGCTTGACTCTGGTAGTAAAGAGTTAAATCTAGGTTGCCTAGTTGAATGTATATTCTAGGGGCTACTCTGGGGATGGGGAATATCAAGACTTCTAAGTGGATAGGAACAGCCCTACATCTATGATCAGTTTCCTGGTCACCTCGGTGTAACATACAGTTGCTGTGACAGCACAAGCGTACCTTTGGACAGCAGGACTGAGAAGCCCTAGCCTACCAGGGGAATGCCTACCTCTTGCTCCACACCCTAGTGTGGGCCCTGATGAGAAGAACTGCTCAGACCAGGCATACCAGATCCCATTATGCAGCTCCCCCAAGAGGTCAGCCCCCTATGTAGATTGACATCTACCCTGGGTTACATCAAATCCTGGCTGCTCTCAGTTGCCTGGCAACCTCTGTTGGGAGAAAGGCCCATGGATGCTGCATGAAAGCCCAGTTTCTAGGGAAGAAGCTCTCATGGATGTGTCTGATGCCTCTAGGTTTCTAACCAAGGTCTGAGGGCCAGGCAGTTGTTACTGGGAAACTCTTTACTTTGCCTGAATAAAATGTTTTGCTCCCCTGAGCTTTTGCTCCAGCATGTCTCCCAAAGGAACATCCTCCCTCCTCCTGTTCTAGGGCTGCCCAAACTCTACCCAGCCTTCAAAGCTTGCCACTTCTTTCTTTCACCCTTCTCCATCCGCTAAGTTTCCTGCCCAGAGGCTTCTCCTCTAACACTTCTCCCTGAGTTGGGGAAGCTACAGCCTGAGCAACCAGCCTTCTCCAGGTTAACAACATGATTTCCATGAGCCTTTTCAAATTCTGGGTGTAGCCCACAGAACCCCATTACTTCCTGGGGCCTCTAAATCAGGACTCATTGGTTAGTGGAGCCCATGAAATATGACTCTCGTCCTGTCATGAGTCCTGTTTAAATACCTCTGATAATAGCATTTACTGACTGCTTACAATGCGCCAGGGATTGTTCTATGCGCTTTACATGTATAAACTTACCAAATCCTCACAACCGTATAATATAGATTATCCCATTTTACCCAAAAGGAAATAGAGGCACTGATAGGTGAAGTAACTTGCCCAAGGTCACACTAAGTTAAGGGCAGATTTACACTCAGGCAGTCTGGCTCCACAACCTTCAGTTAACCACTACACAGCATCATGGCTCACGATATAAATCCTCCTCTCCTGCTTGGCTGGCCCTCTTGCCAACCTCAGAATCTTTGTTCACACATTCTCCCCACTGAGAACATCTTTCCCTTTGCCTCTCATTCTGCAGTGCTCATTTCCTCCCTGCAGCCGAGCCTGACTGCCCCATCCTCATTGTCCCCAGCTGGCTTGAGAGCATCCCCAGAACCAGGCCTGAACTCTCCGGATGCTCCATACAAATCCTGGACAAATTTAAGTGAACCTGAGGGGAAAAGTACCATGCTGTTCCCTGAGGATGGGGAAGTGCTCAAGGTGGAGGGAGAGCAGGCCATGTGGGAGGAGGAGTCTGGGAACCAGTGTGGAAGACGGCCTGGGGCGCTCATGAGGTCTAGTACGGACGTGTTCACTGCTTCTCCCAGCCCCTATGAAGCCCGGCTCCTGAGGCCCTAGTCCCATAACGCGAGTTCCAGAGGACATCATTGTCCCCCGACCCCCAAGTCAGGTCTTAGAAGCGCCAAAGGCACTGTGGGGTACCAGAGATTCCGGCATCGAAAGTCAGGCGGGAGAACAAACGGGCGGAGCGGGGAGCACAGGAAGTGGGATCACAATGATGGCTGACTCCTGAAGCAGGAGCTCCCTAAACAAGCTAGCGGGGTACCCGCAAGGGTCCAGATAGTGGGATCGAGGGCATACGGATACGGATGCGGTTGCGGCCCTGGGTGACACAGGACGAGGGAGGCCTGAGCAAGCTGGGGTGTGCCTTGATACAGGCCACGGCGAGATTCAGAGATGGGGGTCCGGCGGTCCCCGGGGAGTACCGTGGGGGGACACACAGGGCAGGTACCCTGGGTCAACGCTCTCCGCGACTCTCCCAGCTCTGGGCCGGGGGCTGGAGGGGAAATCACCTGCTCCGTCAGGCGCCGCCGGCGACTTGTCCCGCGCGGTGCAGCTCTCATCCCCCAGCCCCACCAACGAGATCAAAGGAGGGGCCCAGAGCGGTTCTCTTCCAGAAGCACTGAAGTAGCCATTTTTGAGAAGGGCAAATGCCCATAACTGGGCGGGGCTTCTGCTCATTTTCATTTGTCTCAGGGCTTTGGACCCGCTACCGCCGTGGCCATTTTTGTTGCGGGTAGGGAGGAGTTGTACATGGAGGTCCCGCCAGTGGGTGCAGTCGCAGTAGCTGACTGTATCCCCGCCCAGTTCCTTGTCAACTGTCAGAGGCCTAGAACCTTTCCACCCCACCCAGTGCCTTCCCATCCGCCTTATTTCATTGCCCCTAAGTCTTTGTCTTCTAATCCTATAGCTTTTCCCTTATCTCCTTCCCCCCCACCCCACCCCACCCCATCCGTCTACAAACCCGTGGCTCCCTGGTTGGATCTGGTGTTCCTTCCTAAATCCAAGTGTCTCTCCTGCTTTGTGTCCAGTCCAGGTTCAAGCCCTATAGTCACCTAATCAACCCCTAGGTGCTAAGTTCCCCACCATATCTGTTCCCTTTTGATTCCCTTAACAGAGATATCTCCCCAGGTTTAGGGTGGGTTACAGGGTCTGGGGCTTGGGACTGTGGAGCCTGGTTGGGAAGAAGGAAGCAGATGCTCTGGGTGAGGATTGACTTGAGCCCAGGACCAGGATGGCCTGCAGGCCATGCTTACTGCCAATGCCTTCAAGCCCATGTAGGCAGAGCTTCTCATTTAAGACAGGACAGCTGAACTCCAGCACCGGCAAGTCCTCAGCTTCCTCTTTCTGTTCCTGCTGCCTCCGCTTCTAGGCATTACCCTGTGGGGAAGTCCACTGCCATCTCTTCCCAGGAACCCTGCAATGGGTCATGAGGGAAAGAGTTCCCTTCAAGAACTCTTTCCCTTCAAGAAAGAGTTCCCTGGATGAGCTCACCCATCCCCAGGATGAGCCCCTTTTCAGGGCTAGTCTCTTTGTAGGGTGCTGGGGATCAGAGACTGTCCATGCCTTCAATAGCTCACAGTCCAAGGGTAGAAAGCCCCATCTTTTCCTTTCCCCTAAGGACTTGAGGCAGTGCCAAAATATGGAGAAAAGGGGGATCACTGCTCTCTCTTCCAGCTTTGTCCCTCACTGCAGGCTCCCACCATCCCACCAGCATCCCCTGGCCTCAAAGAGAGCAAGATGTTAGCTCTGGGGAGAGGGAGCACATTTGGCATTATGTCTCCCATAAACACTGTCGCTGCCAGCCTGGTGCTGCTGGGGTTATGAGGGGTGGGGGTGACAGCCATTTTGAACTCTGGCCAGACAAGCCTCTGGGAAGGTGATGATGGGTAGCTCCATCAGCCCCAGGCCTCTGCTAGCCCTCTAAAAACTGGCCTTCTCACCACTCCCATTCCTCCCCTCCCCCGCCCTTCCTCAGCCATTGCACAATACTGATCATGACTCTTGTCTCCCTACCACCCCCATTACAGGAACTTTCAGGTTTCCTTAGTAGAGCTGTCCCTAGTTCCAGCCCCAAACCCTTACAGCCATTCCTGACACTGTGCCTTCCCCCTCCCCCACTGCCTGTTTCTTGGATGGCAGTGGATGTAGTTAGATATCATCATCAGAAAGAACTTCTTGAGCTTTTGGGGAAGGATAATGGGAAAGACCTCTTAGGGGGAGCCCCTCAATTCCTAGCTCAAACTCTGGAGGATGACAATTCTGTAGCAGCGTTCAGGTTCTGGGGTCAGAGAACAGAGGGTGGGCTAAGGAGAAGGACCACAGACACTAAGACACACACAAACTGTAAGGTAGGAGCTTCAGGGAACACTTGTCCTGCTGGGTATTCCATAGCTGGCCAGAACTTAAGCTCAGCTCTCAGTCCCTCCCTCCTCAAGATGGGAACAGACTCTGCCTGCCCTTTGGGTGCTGCTTGAAGCCACATGGGGTGAAGGGGGGTAAAGTGATGCCTCCTCTCTCCCCATTTCCTCAAATGAATTTTGCAGCTGGTGTTTGGGCACCTGGGCCTCCTTAGCTGATGGGAAAAGCTAGAAGCCTATGCTTGAGGAATTGGGCATAAAGGGAAATTTCCCAGACATTAAGAGCAGAGAAAGAACACAGCTGGCTGGTCTCAAGGGGTGAGAGAGACTCAGTCAAAGACTGAGGTGAGGAAGGAGACACTTGGAAGGATGGGGGGAGGGTCCCCACTCTTGCTTGAGGTCAGAAAGGTCTCTCTGGGCAGTGTGCCCGGCCCTCCCACACCTTCCTCCTTTCTCAGAACAGCCAGGATGGGGCGGGGGCGGGAGTTGGCTGGGGCTGGGTTGGGGCCCTATTTAAGGAGCACTCTTGGAGAGCATCACTGCAGATCCAGCCCCAGAAACCAGAGAGGAGGCCTCATGGGTAAGTATGGGTCCTTTTATCTCAACTCAAGCAGGGTGAGGGTAGGATGGTTCCTGAGCCTGCTAGCTTGCCTTTCCCTCTCCAGGGATAGGCTGCAGCTCTGCCTTGTGAATTGGAATAGCACTCAGTCCTCAGTGTAACTCTCTAGAACATGTAAGTGTGTTTCAGGGAAATATTCCTCTTCTACTCCTCTGTCTTTTGGGTACTTCAGATCTTCACTTCAGGTGGGGAGACTTTCAGGGAGCTGGGACTCCTGGGCCTCTCTCTTGGGGATTCACATTTAAGGGGTCCCCTTTGGCTCAGGAAGCTCTGCAGTCTCTAGAAAGATACCCTTCTCAGTGTACATGATCTGGCTCTTCTCCCAGCTCCTGACCCCTCCAGCTTCACAGCTGGCTTCACCAGGAGCACATCTGGGCAGGAGACACTGGGACTGACTTGGCAGTACCCACAGAATCCCTGCCATGGCCCTGGGCCTCCTCCCCTCATATCCTACATCAGTTTGTTTTGGAATTTAAAGAACCTTTGCCCCTTTTCCTAGCAATGGGCCCCTATTTTCAGCTTCAAGCTCAAACCCTCCCTGGAATAGGAGGAATCTTGATATCCCAGGTTCCTTATCTGATCAATCCTGGGAATGGGGGAAAATTCACAGAAGAAAGCATGGGAGGACAGCATCAAGGCTGAGAGAACTTTGGCCACCTGGCTCTGAGAACTGAATTCCATAGGCTGTGAGCTCTAGCAAATGCCCTAGGGACTCAGTTCTGGTGCCCGGCTGTGCTATACCATCAATGCTGAGGCCATGGGGAAGCTGCAGCTCAGGCTCACAGCATCCCAGCCAGGTGCTCCTCCAGGCACACATCTGACCACTGGCCATGTCTGTTAATGACTTCAACTTGTGCTCCTTTTCTGCTCAAAGATTTCAGTGGCTCCCCAAAACTCCTTACCGTGCCGTTAAAGTCTTTCATAGTATGGCCTCTGCTTAGCTTTCAAGCCTGATCTTCCAATGAAACCCTGCCCTCCAATGAAACCCTGCTGCTTCCTGCTTCTGCTGCCATGCTTTTACTCGTGCTGATCGCTTCCCTGTGCTTCCTGGGACAACTCCTTCCCATCACTATCTGTTGGAATCCTATACATCCTTCAAAGCCTCTTTCAGATGCCTCTTCCAAGAAGCCTCTCTCAACTCCCCAGTGGTGCATATGATCTCCTGCAAATCCTCCACACTCCCCTCCATCAGGCTTGATTCATTATTCCCATAGTGTGTAGTTCAGTGTTTTGCACATAGTAGCCTTTCGATAAATGTTCCTTTAATTTTGCTGAGTGTGTCTCATGTGTGGAGGCAATTTGGCCTAGAGGTCAGATTTCCCAGGTGCATTCTCCATGTATGACCTTGGGTTAGTTGTTAAACTTCGGTAGGCCTCAGTTTCCTCATCTGGAAGTGGGAATAATAATTATATCCACATCAAGGTTTTGTGAAAATTAAATTGAGTTGATAGTTTCTATTCAGAGCTTTAGCACGGAGCTTGCACATAGTAAATTCTGTTATGTTTGTGAGGTTATGATTCGTACTGTACTCCCTTGAGTAGAATGTGAGCTACCCAGTTGAGAGGTAGGATAGGGCTTAAAATTGGTCAGCCAGGGTTCATTTAATGAAAGGCCCCAGACCAGGTGCTAGAGTTGGGTAAGGCTGAGGCAAGGCCAGGAGGAGGAGGCCATCAGGATCAGGGTTTGGTGTTCCAAGACCTGCTGAGATCTAGGACCTCTGGATTCCCACCTACTGTTTGACCTGGGATGAGTCACTCTCTCTTTCCGGCCTCAGTTTCCCAGCATAACATAAATTGAGAGGGTTGGACCAGGTGACCAGCAAGGTCTTTGGCAGCCCAGATGTTTTATGAGTTATAAGCTTGTAATGTTAAGTTGAAAGAGAAGATCAAAGAAGGAAGCATCTAGGCTGCCTGCAGGGCTGCCTTACATCCACAGGGCCTGGAGCTGCCCTGGGGTTTGGAAGTACAGGGTATGCTGGACTGAGCTGATTGGCAGCACCCCCTTCAAAAGCCTGTAATCAGAGGATAGGAGTAAACTTGTGTGCAGCTTATGGGATTTCCAGGGCATAAGTGAAAGCCTTAGGAGGGATGACTGTGAGCAGTGTGAATCCTCAGAGATGGGAGAAGTTGAGAGATTTCAAGGGTCTGGGCTCGAAAAAATGGAGAGGGAAGGGGAGACAGAGCACACCTTATTTGGTGTGAGATTCATGAACCTGCTTTGTTTCAAAAAAAGATTTGAGGGGGCTTACAAGCATGAAGACAATTCTTAAAGATTAAAACATAACATCTGTGCCATAGATATGTAGTACATTTTAAATGTGTACCCTTTTTGACCCAGAGATTCAATTTAGGTATTACTTTTTTATTTTTAGTTAGAAATCATTTCAAACTTATAGAAAAGTTGCCAGAATAGTGCAAAGAACTCTTGCTTACCCTTCTACCAGATTTAACAACTGTTACACTTTAGCCATGTTGCTTACTCTAATCTATCATCCTTATTCAAATCTTGCTACTTGTCCCAATAATGTCCTTCACAACAATTTTCATTCTGGTCTGACATACAGGATCATGCATTTCATTGTTTTCATGTCTCTTCAGTCTCCTTTGACCTGACACAGTTTCTCAGTCTTCCTTTGTCTCGAATGTTCCATTGACATTTTTGAACAATAAAGACCAGTGGGGTTGTGTCTCAATATAGGTTTATCTGATGTTTCCTCATCACTATGCATTACTGCTGAATTGATATTGTGTTTGCTCAGTTCAATACAGAAAGCACATGATACTGATTTGTCTCTGGTAAAGAATAAAATTTTGGGCCGGCCGAGTGGCGCGTTGGTTACGAGCTGGCTTGGGACACCAGCTCTGAGCAGCAGGGCCCCGGTTCGGATGCCACATGAGGGCCAGTGACACTGCCCTCCACAGCTAAGATGGTGAACAACAGCTCAACCTGGAGCTGGGCTGCCGTGAGTCACTGGCGACAGCGTAGGCTGCAGCCCCTCCTGCAGTGGGCTGCCATAAGCTACCGTGTGTGGCTGGCAGCCAGCGTGAGCGGCCGGCAGCTGGTGTGAGCTGCCAAGAGCCACTGTGAGCACCCATCCAAAGGCAGGCGACCGATCTGCCTTATCCGGGAAGGGCGCAATGATAATACCAACATGGGCCAGTGAAGCGACGTCCTCCACAACTAGACTGAAGAACAAAAGGACAGCAACTTGTCTGTTCCCCTTCCCCTGAAGAACAAAAGGACAGCAACTTGTCTGTTCCCCTTCCCCCGGTTCCCCAGCGCTGTTACCCTCCCCCAAGCCCCCAATAAAATCTTAAAAAAAAGAGAGAATAAATTTTCAAGACCCTCATTAAAGACAGTTAAGAAAGACTTTATTCAAGGAGTTACTGCAATGGGCTTAAAGTGTTATCCACCAGTTTTCCCTACTACTCTACTAGGTTACTATTTTTTACTTATAATTCATAAATACTTTATTGGAACATACTGTAAACTGTATAATATTCTGTTTCTCATCAAACTTTCATCCATTAGTTTTAGTATCCATAAATAATTCTCATCTAAATCAATTACTGTGATGGTTGGGAATGGTGATTTTCTAATTTCATTATTCCTTCTACTGCAAGGAAGAGCTTTCCTTTCATATTAGTTATTTAAATAATGTTAGTATGGACTTATGGATCCTTATTTTATTCAGTAGGTTATAATCTGTTACTGTGATTATTTGTTTTGATGCTTAAATTGTCCCTGATTTGGCCAGTGGAAATCCCTTCAAGCTGGCTCCTTTGTTCTTTTGAATTTTTGAGTAGTCCTTTATTTTCTGACACAAGTCGTTCCAGGCTCTTCTTGTACCTTCCCTGCCACAGCCTTGGAATCAGACATTTTCCCAAGGGGCCTGGTTCATTATAGTGGAGAATGGAGTTTAGAACCAGACTTCTGGACACTGGCTGTGCTTGTTGCTACTAGGTTATCATTGTTCAGTGATTCAATTTCTAATTTTAAGACTTTAGATTCTACAATTTAACACTTGTATTTGTGGACAAAGCTACATACATACTCAAGGACATTTGCTTTCTGATCATCCTCACTACTTCCAAATAAGACAAAGCCATCATCTTATTTTGCCTGTATTACTTCAAAAGCCCCCTAACTAGTCTCCTTATTTCTACAATGACCCCTTTACAGCATCCAGAATAATTTTTTTAAAAGTCTGTTCACATTCTCCCCTGCTCATAACCCTCTACCCCTAAGAATAAAATCCAAAATTCTCAATATGGCTTCAAGGCACCTCAGGATCTGGTTTTCTTTCTAACCTCATTAACCACCACTTTTTCGCTTGCTCACAGGACGATATTCCAGTCGGAGTTGTTGTATCTGCTTTTCTCCCCCAGATACTCAAATGGCTTGTGAAGGTCTTTATTAGTCTCCACTCGAGTCACCTCTTCCCTAATGATCCTACTAAACAGCACCCCATCACTTATTACTATCTGACATTACATCATATATTCCCCCATTTTCTTGTTATCAGTCTCTATTTCTCTACATTGCACCTCTAAAGTAAGCTCCATGAGGGCAAGGGCTGGTTTGGTTTTCTCCTGAGCCCCAGTGTCTTGAATACTGGGGGCTGGTATATTGTGGGCTCTCAAATGTCTGTTGAGTGAATGAAGATAACTTTCACTCCTTGGGGCTTTGGCACCCACCATACCCTCTGCCTGGCTCCCCCCTGACCCATCTCTTTGCATGGCTAGCTTCACATCCTTCACAGCTTAATGTCACCTCCTCAGAGAAGCCTTCCCTGATTACCTTATTCTAAGTTTCACTACCTCACTCACATTTTCTATTTCAGCCTCTTATTCCTGCTGTAGTACTTATAACAACTTCCCTTTAATCTGTTTGCCAGTTGTAGCATTCCCATGTCTACTAAAATGCAAACTCTGTAAGCATAGAGGCTGCCACGGCTGTCTCATTCACTACTGGAGTCCCAGGGCCTAGAACAGGTGTGGCAAATAATAGGTACTCAAGAAATTTGTTGGATAGACTTGTAATGGCTAAGAGCTGGAAGGAATCCAAAAGCTATGGAATATTGGATGGCTGTTAAAGAATGAGGTAGCTCCATGTGCATGGGAATGGCATGATGTCCAAGGTATACTTAATGTAAAATACAGCAGGTAAAATAGTGGGATTCCTTTCATGTAATTCATACTAAGTGCACAGAAACAAATAGGAAAAAAAAATAGATTGGCCCCCAGTGGTCATTTGGGGTTGAGGGATATTAGAAAATATTTTAACTTCCTATTTCCTATATTTCTGTATTGCAAACTATAAAAAAAAATCACTAGTATTTGAGAACTTAGTAAATGCCAGAAACTGTGGTAAACATTTTAAGTGCAGGGTTTCATGACATTGTCTCAAAAAACCTTATGAGATGGGTCCTAATACCATCATCCCAATTTGCAATGAGGAAATTGGTTCAGGTACACTAAGTAATTTACCTCAGGTCACACATCACACTACACCACCTCCCTTTGTTTTTATAATTAAAAAATAAAAATAAAAAGGAAAGGAAAATAAGATAAAACTAGGGGTAACAGTTTAGGATCCAGGCTTTACACAAAAGATGCTAATTTGGCTCTGAGCTCCTTAGAAATCAGGGCAAAGAGAAACATATGATCAGTTATGAGATCTTTGGTGCTTCAAAGATAAAGCAAACCAATCACCAGGAGAAACACCTTTCCTGAGTGCTGAGGTTTGAGAGAACTTCTCCATGAAGCTCATAAACACAGCATGTTCATTCAAGCATCTACAGCTTCAATAACATACCTGTATACCCAAGTAGTGGTTGGCCAGCTACAAATGGAAGTTCTGTAAAAGCAACTCTACAGGAAGCCAAATTTATACAGCCTGGGTATCAGATCTGGTGGCCTGGCTAGACCCATAGTTAAAATTGGATGGGTCTCCAGCAAACTCCCGCAATATTGCAAATTCAACCTATTAAAGACTATTAGCAAGAATTAGGAGACTAGAAGTGACATTCGTCTTAACTTTCAACCCTAGTGAATTTTCCAGGTAGGCTGGGTTATTTTTAATGCTTCCTTTACACATGAAGAAACTAAGGCTCAGAGAGTCTAGTTACATGATAGAAAAATGTCAGCGTCTGCTCTAAATCTATGCCTTAAGTATCTCTTCCTCAGCCATGCCTGCCACCCACACAACTAAAGAGCTCATACCCTCAGAATCCTGTGGGTGTAGGATGGGTGTCATCCTGCACACTGGAGGAGAGTAGTGAAGAGGCTAGGCCCAGTAAGGAGGCACACTTTTTCCAGAGGTCCACTCTAATCCCCCGCAACTCCTTGTGCCCCAGGCAGGGGAGTAAGGCTCACATTACATAGATGAGGAAACACCCCCACCTTCCAAACATAAAAATGATCTCACAGCATACACTTGACTTCACTCATTTATTTTCATTACAAGCTGGGGACAGGTGGGCCCTTGGCGTGGGGAGTTTGGGAAGCTTTGCTTGAGCGAGAAGAGAAAAAAAGGAAAGTGGGGGCTTACTGCAGGGCAGGCTTCTAAGGGGAAGATAGGGAGGAGGAGGGAGCGACGAGTGAAAGGGTTCAGGCCCCTCTTCCACCCACACCCAGTCTTCCCAAGCCCAAGCAGAAGGAAAGAGTAACAGGACACACACCCAGAGATGTCCTTGAGCCCTTTTTGCCCTTCCCCCACCTCCAGCAATAACATAAGAGAAATCAAGAAAGTGCATGAGGCGGGCTGCAATATCTTGGTAAAAAAGCAAAAAGACAGGTGACAGGTGTTTCCAAGTACGACGCACAGCAGTCTCTCCCTCCTCGCCTGGGAGGATAGCTGTGCGCGTGCTCCCCCGAGCCGGTCGCCAGGCCCTGCGGCGCCCTCAGCCCAGGCCTTTCCTCTTTTTCGGGCCGCCGCGCTCTGCCGCTTTCCCCGCTGGGCTGCTGCGGCCGCTGCTGCTGCTGCTGGCGGGCGCGCGCAGCAATCGCCTCTGCACTCGGTACTCGGGCTCACCGATGCGCGGCGCGCCCTGCACCAGGAACTCACCTCCGCGGAAAGTGACGCGCAAGTCAGTGCGCGGGTACGTGCCGTACACGCGCCGCAGCTCCCGGCGCACGAAGTCCGGCAGTTCCAGGCGCGGGCCCGTGGCGCGCTCCACGCGTCCCCAGCGCAGCTCCACCTGTAGGCTGCTGCCTTCTGGCCACGACGACCAGCTTTCGGCCACTGCGGCCCCTCTTGCCGTGGGTGACTGCAGCGACGGCCCCTGGTAGCCGGGCGCGGGGAACGGCGGGCGCAGGGCCGCGGCGTAGGCCTGCGGGAAGGCCCACCAAGGCGTCATGGCCCCCAGGGGCGCGCCTGGGACGTGGAAGCAGTGGTATTCCCGCTCGGCTGTCCAGTCGCCCGCATACAGGGCTGGGAGGCGGCTGCAGAAGTTGTGGGCCTGGATAGGGGGCAGTAGCAGGGGTCTCGACAGGTAGGTGTAGGTGAGGGGCTGCAGTGGAGGCCAAACGCCTTTCCCAGGCGCCAGGCAGCTGTATGAGTACATCATGGTGGGAAGCTCAGGCAGCGGGCATTTTTACTGGGTCATGGTCCTGGTCCAAACCTGTGGTGGGGGTGTGTGTGGATTCACTTTGTTCTTATGGACGCACACACACCCTATTCCTGGGGTATCATAATCCAGGGCTCTGGTTCATAGCATAGCCCTTGCATGCGTGCTTCCTGGCTTTGGGGAACTCTGCCTAAGGTGTTCAGCTCCCACCTCCCCTCTTGTCCCAGGGCTAGGCCCAAACCCTAGGCTCCCAGCAGACAATAAGGACCCAAAGCCTTTTCAAGCCCTCAGCCCTGAAACGCTCTTCCACTCACTTATTTCCTTCAGCCGGGAGGAGTTGGTCCTCAGCATGTGGGGAAGCCGAAGGTCCAGAGCAGGGCTCCTTTCCACCACTTTTTAGTTGAGCTTCTCCCCTCCATGCCCTGCCTCAGCCACACCTCCTGGTTTCTAGGCAAAGGGAAACACCTTTCGCTGGCCAGGAGCCAGCCAGCCAGTGTCGACACTGGATGAGCCTACTGGCTGTACTAGTGATAAACTAGATGCTTATCCTTGTGCTCAGTTATGCCCTCACCACAACTTGCTCAAACTCACACAGTCAGACAGTTATCGTAAGGGAAAACTGAACCCCATGTCTGTCTCAAGACATTAGCCTTATCAACAATCTATGCTGGGGCTTCTTTCAGGCTATCGCACAATCTTCCTGCTCTAGAATGTTACATGAGAACTTCTAGTTCTGAATAACCATGTGAAGAAAGTGATATCATTCTCATTTAATAGATAAGGAACCAGAGACTCAGAGAAGTTAAGCCACATTCCCAAGGTCACACAGTCTGTAAGTAGCACAGAGGGATTTGAATGCAGTCCCACCTGATTCTAAAACCCAGAAGTGAGTTGGGGGGGGGGGAGCTAGAAAGATTGCTTCATCTACATGGGGTGAGCCCTGTCTGCGCTTTAGTACCCTCTTGCTGCAGGTCACAGCGCTCCACCTCTCTCTTCCCCAGTGGGACGGGTGGTCTTTGCTGGATGATTAAAACTGATGCCCTCTCCCAGCTGCTGGGCTGCCAGGCCATCATACTTTCCTTCCCCCTTCCTTTGACTCAAGCAGCATTACCAGTACTCCCCATAGGTTCTCCTAGGTTCTTAGCATTCATCAAAGCCCCGCTACCCTCTGGGAAGGTCTCCTACACTCATCCTCACCCTCCTACTCCCAAGATGCTCATGGCCTAATCCCTGGGAACCTGGGAATATGTTACATGGCAACGGGGGAGTAAGGTTGCAGTGGTATTAAGGTTGTTAAGTAGCTGAACTTAAAATTAGATCACCATTGATTATCCGTGTGAACCCAATGTAATCACAAGGGTTTTTAAACATGGAGGCAGAAGAGTTGGAGTGATGTAATATGAAAGTTGGCCAGCCAGTCCTGGCTTTGAAGATCTGGAGGGGGATCACAAGCCAAGGAATGCAGGCAACCTCTAGAAGCTGGAAAATACAAGAAAATGGATTCTCATTTCTTTCCTCCAGAAAGGAATGCAGCCCTGCCAACACCTTGATTTTAGTCAATGAGACCCATCTCAGACTTCTGATCTCCAGAACTGGAAGATAATAAATTTGTATTATTTTAAGCCATTAAGTTTGTGATAATTTGTTACAGCACCAATAGGAAATTAATACACCTCTCTACTCCTGTGTATGATTTTGCCCCTCCCTCCAAATCCCAGCACCTGAGGAATGCCCAAGACTACCTGTAGACTGGCATCACCCCAGCATGGAGCTCAATGAAGGACCCTGTGGGACTAGCCAATTTCTCTACCTGCTCCCACGCACCCAGGGAGATCTGGTCATAACTAGGTGGGTGGTAGGGAGACTGTGAGACCATGCTCAAGTTGGATCCTGGGAGGGTGAGGAGGCTGCATTTTAATATGGTCCCAAAATGCTTTCTGAAGACCTGCTGGTCTGGGAAGGGAGTTTTCAGGCAAAATGAGAAAAATGAGGACCAAGCTGTGAGTTTCTCAACATTCATTCACCTTGCTTTCAGTAACAGCCCCCAGATTTTTGGGGTGCCACACTTTAATCTCAGTAAAGTGGTTCTGGGGGTGTTTGCTCTATTCCATCCTTAAGTTAGGGCGATTTAGGGCTAAATTAATCAGCACTGTCATTCCTCTGGCCATAGTGATTTTTTTTTAAGGGTAGCCATGTGACTCAATTCGGGCCAATGGGAACCAATCCCAGAACTTTGTTCTCTTGTTGTGCAGAGGGACGTGCCCTCTTCCTCTGGACAGAAATGTGAAAGAATGCAATCTGGGTGGAGAGGTGAAGGCCTGTCTGAGCATGAAGTCACAGAAGTGGAGTCAAGAGACAGAGAAATTGGGTCCTGATGACATTGTTTGACTCCTGGACTTCAAAGTTACACAAGCCAATACAATTTTTTGTTCTCCTTTAGTTTTCCTGAGATATCACTGATACACATGGCTGTATAAGTTTAAGGGGTACAGCATAATGACTTGACTTACATGTATTCTGAAATGATTAACACAAGTTTAGCTAATGTCTATCTCATAGAAATACAAAAAGGAAAAGGAAAAAAAATGTGTGTGATGAGAGTTCTTAGGATCTACTCTCTAACAACTTTCAAATATACCATACAGCAGTGTTAACTATAGTCATCATTTTGTACATTACATCCCTAGTACTTATGTATCTTATAACTGGAAGTTTGTACTTTCCTCCAACTTCCCCCTCCCCCCACTTTCCAATAAATACCTTTCTTGCTTAATCTAGGTCTGCCCACTATTGAGGGGCTCACAAGCAAGCATATGGAGTTGTTCCACTGCCATCTCTTTATCTGCCTCAGCTGTGCATCCAGTCAGACAACACCTTGTAGGAAGGTAATGAGCTCTCTTCATTCCCTGAATTAATACTAAGGAAAGATGTAGGAGAAGGGAGGGGATGCTCAGAAAAACTTGGTTGATTTGAATTTGTCAAGTGAGTATAAATGAATCAGGAGGCTTTGGCTAGAAATAATGATAAAGATTTGTTCAAGGGTCTTGGAATTTGCAAATGGGAAATACAACTAGGCAATACCCAGAGTGTTCCAAAGAAGAAAGAAAAGTTGAAAGTTTTTATGGTAAAAAATACTTTCTCTTGAGAAGAATCAGTTCTGCACCCTTAGCCTCTGGTCCGAGATGGTAATCTCCCAGATGTTAGGTGGTAGACACTGACTATTCTTTCCTAAGATCTTCAGGGGGTTATCTATAGGATTTACATACATATTTGCAGGCATTGACGCACAACTGAAAAAGTTTAAGTTCCCAGGCTAGTTAAAGCAAGCATAGACTCTTTTCCTTATGCCTCAGCCTACTTGTTTTTAGTAATTTAGCAGCTTGACTATGTGACTCCATTTTATTTCTTCACCTTTTCCTCAAACTGAAATGACATTAAGCCATCCAGGAGGGAATAAGCGGGTCAGGAATCCAGGCAACCTGCCCACTTCTTGCTAGCATCCACGTCCTTTTTGGTCCCTAAGGGCAATCGCCCGTGACAAATATGGCGGCGGCAGCCTCGGGCGGGGGCACCTGCCAGGCGGTTGTCCCCGGAGCCGCGCGGAGCCAATCGCTGGGCGGGGGCGGAGGGAAAGGCCGGGGAAGCAGCCCCAGGCGCGCACAGGAACACTGGCTCGCACCTGGCTCTGGGCAGCCGGGATTAGGCTTCGGCTGCCACTGTTGCGGTGAGGGGCTGGCGGCGGAGGGGCTCTGGGGCAGGAGCGGGCCGGACTGGGGGCCAATCAGACGCAAAGGACAGACCGATGGGGACGGGAATGCCGTCCGCTCTGGGAGTCCTGGGTGTCTGCGGGGGTCCCTGCGGTGATCAGGTTGTGGGTTGGAAGAGCACTTGGGTCAGGGTGGGAGAGGCTTGGGCTCAAGGGGGTGAGGGTGGAATCCTCGCAGAAGGGCTCTCTGGGGCTGGGATCGCGGCATGCATCAGGTCCGGATCCATTTCATTAGCATAATGGCCTTTAGCCCCGGTGACGTAGTAGAGCCACTTGGGGAGCTTTAAAAGAACATTCTGCTGAGCCCCATCCCTAGAAATCCTAATTTAATTGGTCAGGGCTAAGGCCTGGGCCTGAGTGTTATTGAGCAGGTGATTTTAACGTGCAGATGCGTTGGAGAACCACCACGTGTTTCAACGCCAGCTCTTGAGTAAAGAGCTCCTGGGTTGATCTCAGACTCCTCAGTGGCTTGGGAGGGGCGGGTGGCCCTAGGGTGAAGTTGCTGACCCCCCAGTGCTGCTGTAGTAGCCTGCAGGAGAGGGAGAGGGAGAAGGTTCCACCAGTGTGGGGCACGCCCAACAACTCTGCCAGGGCTGGACCTTGCTGTGGGTAGACTGGGCAGGGAGAAAGGGCTCCGGGGTGTGAAGCAAGAAACACAGCAGACAATTCGGAGGTCAGCAGCTTGTTGAGAAAAAGGACGCACCTAATATTTGTGTAGGGCATTATGCTTTTCAATTTCATTTGATACCCCTGAGGACTGGCAGGGAATGGATTTGTTTCTCCTGTTTCACAGAGGTAGGAATAAACTCAGATAGCTAGTTAGTGATAACATTTGGACTGGACCCAGGGGTCCCAACTCCAAATTTTGCTTAATACTAGCTTTTCTCCTCTTCACTAACTGCTTTTCATACAGTCTCTAGTCCTGCAGGGAATCAGAAGTAAACACCCACTTCCTTCTGATGTCCCTTATTCACTCCAGGGGCCCAGTCTGGCATCCATCAGCACCCCCTACCCAACGAAGGAGATGCTACTATTTCCATCCTTTTCTAGTTCTTTTATCTCCCAGAAGCCTGATGGGGTGAAGAAGGGAGAGTTTTTACATAATGTTGGGTCTCCTTCCAAACAGATCTGTTCCTGTCACCTTGTCACTTCCAGTGTCCGTCCCCCCATCCCATTGTCCTCAGGATAGAATCTTCTGTGTGGTTTATAAAACTCTTCCCGATCTGGTGTCTTTCTACCTCCCTGCTCTGAACGATCTTCCCATATTCTTTTTGTATTTCTTAGCACAGTGCTGGGCACATGGTAAAAGCTTAATAAATGTTGGTTCTTGTTATTATCGCTGGTCCTCTGTGCACCTGTTGCCTTGCTGTACATGTTTTACTCAGCAGGGCACATCAGCATCATCTTGACAGATTCCCCAGGTTGCCAATTTCTGACTCCCTCAGCCAAGCAGAAGGAAGAGCTGAGAGGCACAGGAGGATCTGGGAGTGACACTCCTCCTGTGGCCGCTGCTCTTCCCTGGGGCCAGGGAAGTACATACTGGCCTTTTAGGGACAAGTCGACCCCATGGGTATTAGTTGAGCACCTACTGTGGTGAAGGAGCCTGGAGTCAGGGAGAGCGGATCCGACCTGGCCCTGCTCTTAAGGAGCTTGGGGGCTAGAAGAGGATAAGGGAGGCACTTGGATCCTGATACGGGAGCCCAGGGATCTGAAAAGGGGTGAGAACTCCTGACTAGGTGTACACCGGGAGACTGGTGCCACTGACCTGCACCTTGAATTAGCAGGATTTGATAAGATGGTGTTGGGGGTAGGCATAGTGATGTGAGAAATGCTGAGATTTTTTAGTCAAAAACACCTGTTTTGAATCTTGGCTCTAGCACCTAATACCTCTGTGATTTTAGGCCAGTTATTTAACCTTAAGAGCCTTGGTTTCTTCATTTATAAAATGAGGATGGAAATAGTAACAAGAGTTATAAGGATTCATAATAATGGATGTAAAAGCCAGGCATATCCTATATGCCTGAGACATGGTTTAAAGTTACCCTAGTTGTAACTTTATTGAAGAAAGGTGTGGAGGCGGCATTTAAAAAAGAACTTGAGGGATGGCAGGATATACCCAGCAGTGAGAGGCATCAATGTTGGGTGCTGGAAAGACAGCTTCCATCATGGATTTGGCAGAAGGGACACAGACTTAAACCCTTTAAAGATCACGTAACCAAACGTCAAAAGACATGAAAAAAAGTAAAATAGCTACTGTTTATTGAGGGTCTTCTATGTGCCAGGCACTATGCTTGGTGCTTTAAACATCTTTTGCATTTCAGCCCATAGCAATCTAAGAGGTTTGCGTTATCACTCCCACTTGATAGATGAGACTGAGGCCCAGGGAGACGGAGTGGCTGGCTCAAGGCCACACACTTGAACCACATCAGCAGGGGTGCGGCCTAGGCTGGGGAGGGAGAAGGAAGGTGGCTCCAGCAGGCTGCCCCACAAGGTGCAAAGGTGGGGGTGGAGTTGGTTGCAGATTACAGGATATTTCACCCAGGTTATGCAACTAGGCTGGTGTGGGCCCCTGCAGTTCCTCCCTGGAGAAGCAGGGCTGTTGTTCTCTGCTGGGGTGGTTTGAGGGTGACGAGAGCTAGTAGGGGAAGGCGTTTCATGATGGAGGAACAGAATCTGAAAGAGAAACCACTTTGGTGACCCTGCAGTCTCCCCGCTCCACTCCCTCTCCTGGGCAGCAGCTTGCCTAGGCTGAGCGGCTTTGCCTGCAGCTCTGCCTGTGGTAAGGGTTTGTCTCTGGCACTCCCAAATATCTATGTGTTCCCGCTTCTTGCAGGGCCTCCTCTTCGGACTTTCCCGGATCTCTTGAACTCCTTTACTACTGGAAAGGGCCTGATTACCAGGATATTACCTTGCTGCTACCCTAATCTGTTATAAGTGAGCCCAAGAAAAGGCCAGTTTCTGAGCATCTTCTTTGTGATTGGCCTGGTGCTTGGGGCTTCCTGACATTAGTTGAATCCTCTCTGCACTCCTATAAAGATAGGCATTATTATCCCATTTTATAGGTAGAAAACCAAGGCTCAGAAGGGTTAGGTGACTTGCCTGAGGTTACACTCTTAGTAGCAAGTGCAGTTGGCATTAAACTCGGGCCCTTCTGATGGCACAGACATACCCTTTCCATCTCACTTCCTTAGAGGCTTTCTTCTACGGGTGCTGGGAGCCGGCTGGTGGAGATTTGGGACCTTGCCTGCAGGGTTCACCTTCTCTAGCAACTGGGAACAGATCACTGGACATTGAGGTGGAGAGGGGGAACTTCACTCCCTGGGCCAAAGGCTTTGGAGGTGAGGTAGGGGAGTTCTAAAGGGCCATGGGGAATCAGAGAAAGTGCTTTATAGCCCCAGTGCACCTTTAGATCAATTCCCCACCCCATCCTTGTGTGGTGTGTGGGGAAGGCCTGAGAGGTTCAATAGGAATAATCTTTTAAAGCCCTCACCACATTTGTCATGCTAAGTGCTTTAGGGTATTTTCTCATTGACTGCCAGCATCAGCCTTAGGAAGGTAGGCCCCATACTGCAGATCAAGAACAAGCATAGAGAGGTTAAGCAGATGGCTCCATGTCACACAGGTAGTAAATGGTGGAGTCAGGACTTCGGAGACTTCCAGTGTGTCTTTCAGCTCTGTTACTTAGAAAGTGTTGAGGAAGCTTGCAGGGTGATGGCTGTGTTCATGATCTCAATTGTAGTGATGGTTTCACAGGTGCATACATGTTACAACTGGTCTGAGTAAGTGCAGATTATTGTATGTCAATGACACTTTAATAAAGCTGTGGGGGGAAAAAAGAAAAGCATTTCCTACCACCCATTCCTTCAAGGGCTCAAGGACTCCAGGGAGAGGCCGCCTGGCCATCCTCCTGCTTTGGGGCAAGGTAGGATCGCTGGCTTGGGAGAGATTCTCACAGACTTAGCAGCTGGTTTCAAGTAGACTGGGCTGCTGCTTCTCTCATTCCCCACCACTAGGCATAGACTGGCATGGGGTTGAGAGTGAGGGTGCATACAGAGCTCTTGAGTGATTGCCACTTGGCTTCCAGTGAGCCTGAGAGCAATCCCAGTGAGATTCTCTTCTATTCTCTCATCAGAGCCTCTTTCTCTACCAGTCAGTCACTCCCACAGTTGAGAGTGATCGATCGAGTCCAGCCCTTTCTCTTGGAGAGTGAGATAGAGGGAGAAGACACAGGCCCTGCCCACGAAACGCCCAGTCAGGCTGGAGTGGGGGCAGGCAAGAGAGTGTGCTATGCAGGGGCAGGAGGCATCAGTGAGTACCCCAGGAGTTGGAGAAGGTCTCCTGGACACGTGCTGGCTAATGAAGGATAGGTGAGTTGGAGATGAGGAGATAGGGAGTGTGCTTCTGGTGGGAGACACCAATAAGAACAAAGGCTTGGCCAGAGGAGAAGGTGGCTTGAAGATCCAAGGCAGGCCGGGCTAGAGAGGCCAGACAGCAGAGACCCTTGAAGGTTTGGCGGGGGTGGGGGGAGCCATGGTGGGTCATGAGGCAAGGACAGGTCCTGTGGGGTAATTTCTGTTGGACTGGGGCTGAAGTCGGCTTTGCATGGCCTCCCTAATGGGAAACAGAAGTTTTAGTTTTGTGCGTGTGTGTGCCGGGACATGTAAATGAGTCCCGTGGGAAGGCTTGAGTCACAAGGACTCACAGAGGATCAGCCTCTGAGGGTGGGTATGTCTCCTGGGGCTGTGCTAACAAATTACCACAAACTGGATGGCTTAAAACAACCAAAATTTATTCTCTCATAGTTCAAAATCAAGGTGTCAGCAGGGTTATGCTCCTGGAAGGAGTCTCTAGAGAAGAATCCTTCCTTGCCTCTTCCAGCTTCTGGTGGTTGCCCCCAATCCTTGACTTGGCGGCTGCATCACTCCAATTTCTGCCTTTGTCATCACCTAGCATCTTCCCTGTGTGTGTGTGTGTGTGTGTGTGTGTGTGTGTGTGTGTCTGTCTGTCTCTGTGTCCAAATTTCCGTCTCCTTAGAAGGATACCAATCATGCAATCAGGGCCCACTCTGATTTGGTCTGATCTTATTTTAACTTGGTTACATCGGCAACCAAATAAGGTCACTCACAGGTACTGGGGCTTAGGACTTGAATATATCTTTTTGGGGGATGCAATTTAACTCACAACAGGGAGTCAGAGAAGGAAGACCTCATAGCTTCCGGCTAGGGGTCAGACAAGCACACATGGGATTCTTTTTCTGTAAAGAGAACAGAAGCTTTGAACCTAAAAAAAGATACAGACTTAATGCTTCGCTGCTTAAAGTATGGTTAGGACCAGCAACACGGTGTCACCTGGAAGCCTGTTAGAAATGTAGATCTCAGGTTCCTCTTGAGACCCAAGTCAAAATCTACATTTTAGTACAGTCCCTAGGTGACTTGAAAACACATTACAGTGTGAGAAATGGTGCTCTAATAAAAATCTGACTTTTATTTCCTTTCCCACCCATGGTCTGCCAGTTTCTGTGCATGAGTCGGCATGGTTGGAAGCCAGGCACCCTTTGTTCTCTGTTTTCATGTAACATGTTTTTGAGTTTCTCTCCCACATGTCGAGGTTGCCCATGTACTTCCTCTTTGTTGCGTTCTCAGGCTTTGTCCAACTTTTTGCTGTTTATAAATGTTGCTGCCATGAACATCTCTATACACGTTCCTTGGGGTTAGTTCCTTGAGGTGGAATTTCTGGACTCAAAGTGCACGAGCAGTTGTGGACTCTTAGCATATCTCACCACAGCAGGTTTCTCTGTTCTACTCAATAGTGCATAGGAACCTGATTTGGCAGAAAAGGCTTTGGAGCCAGACAGGCCAAGGTTCAAATCTGCTACATTTTTGCTGTGTGACATTGGGCAAATTATTTAACATCTCTGAGCTTGCGGTTGCTTTATAACATTGCAGTAGTGCTATACACTTTGTAGGGATTTTATAAAGATAATAATGACAACCTCAACATCCATTTATTGAGCACTTTTTGTGAGTTACCTCATTGAATCCTTACATTTCTCTGCAGAGTAGGCATGATCATCCCCTTTTCCCTTTTACAGAAGAGGAAACTAAGGCTTGAGTTATTAGCTTGCCTGAGGTTTTACTGTAGTTACATCGTGCACCCAAGCCCAGGGTTGTCACGTTTAGACCGTTAAGGTCGGATAATGCAGATGAAAGAAGATACGGAGCACACAGCCTGAGCACAGTTGGACCTGACTCAGTACTTGTTGGACGCCTGCCTTTGCTTCGCACGCCTGTATCAGTTTCCTCGAGTTACTCCTGGGTATGGTATCTGGTCCAGCATTGTTTCAGCTGTATGTCATTAACAATTCCCAGCTTTATTTTACGTGAAAACTTTCTCCCAGTTGGAAATGAGTTTTTAAATGACTCACAGGTCTGGGGTTTCGAGCAAAGCTGGCTCTGATCCTTGCGGCTAATTGGCTCCTTCTCCCCCAGGGACGAGGATGGCCAGCCTGCCCGTGGCTGTGAGTACTTCTCCATGCTCTTAGGCTGAGGCTGGGCTGGCAGCCATGCGGCTGGGCAGGCCTTGGGCCTGGCTGTTGGGCCTGCCCACGGCTGTGGTCTATGGCTCCCTGGCCCTCTTCATCTCCATCCTGCACAATGTGTTCCTGCTTTACTATGTGGACACCTTTGTCTCAGTGTACAAGATCAGCAAAACTGCCTTCTGGGTCGGAGAGGTAGGCCAATACTTGGGTGGCCAGCCCGGGATGGGAGCCAGGCAGATTGCAGTGCTGGGTCCCACCCACACAGGAGCATGGGGCAGTCCAGGTTGCCCACCAAGACTCAGCAAGAAAAGCTGGAGCCCTGATGACTCCTCAGTGGGGATTATACCAGCTCTCCTGGTCACTGTCCTAGGAGCCCGGGACTATCTTATGTATTCACATATATTAATCAGCTGAATACATTTACCAGCAGGGCCCTGAATGGGTGGGAATTTGATGGGAACAGTGGCTGCTAGAGTGGATGTTAGCAGAGGGACTGCCCCGAGCAAAGGTTTGCAGGTGGGAAAGCTGGTGTCATCTTGGACGGGTGGTAAGCAGGCTGGGCAGGGAACGCTCTGGAGAAGAGGCTGCCTGGAGCCCACCCGCGCCATCTTTCCTCTGCCTGCAGACGGTGTTTCTCCTCTGGAACAGCCTCAACGACCCCCTCTTCGGCTGGTTGAGTGACCGTCAGTTCCTCAGCTCCCAGCCCCGGTTTGTGTCTTGGGGACTGCTCATAACCAGTCCTATTCCCACCCCACCCTTCTTCCCCAGGGCTGGAGGACCTCCACCTGTGTTTGGGGTGGGGCAAGAAAGGAAGATCATTTTCAGCTGTTGTCCAGGTTGCCTCTCTTCCCGAGGTCAGGGCAGGCTCTGTCCAGGTGGGAGAAGTAGCCTTGATGAATTGTTAGCCTTAATCACCTGGGGGAGAGATTGACCCCAGCTCAGCTCGCCAGGCCCTCAGGGCGGAGTGCTGTACCCCAAACACTGCTGCTTCTGGCAGATTCCTTTCCCCCATCCCTGCTTGGGCCCATCATTTCCCCCAACCCTGAAAAATGGGAATCATACCACCCTTTGGCCCTCAGCCCTGGCAGGCTGACAAAGGAGCAAAGGAGAGAGTACCCACTGGTGAGTTGTGCTTCCTAAATCGGAGGCTGAGGACTTGGGCTCAGTGGGACCATCTGGTGTTGAGTCCCACACTCTGGGCCTCTGTCCATCTTCTGGGCCTGGGCAAGGGGAACTGGGGTCCAAGCCTACAAGGCTATCTCCCAACAGCCCTCATCTCCCCGGCAGGTCGGGCGCCGGGCTCTCCTCGAGGGCTGTGGTGCTGGCACGGGTGCGGGCCCTGGGCTGGCATGGGCCATTGCTGGCGCTGTCGTTCCTGGCATTCTGGGTCCCATGGGCCCCAGCTGGCCTGCAGTTCTTGCTGTGCCTGTGCCTCTATGATGGCTTCCTGACGCTGGTGGACCTGCACCATCACGCCTTGCTGGCTGACCTGGCTCTCTCAGCCCATGACCGCACCCACCTCAACTTCTACTGCTCCCTCTTCAGTGCGGCCGGCTCCCTCTCTGTCTTTGCCTCCTATGCCTTCTGGAACAAGGAGGACTTCTCTTCCTTCCGCGCCTTCTGTGTGGCACTAGCCGCTGGCTCTGGGCTAGGTTTTGTGGGGGCCACACGGCTGTTGAGGCGGCGGGTTGAAATGACCGGCAGGGAGCCAGGCTGCCCAGATCTGGCTTTGGATAGCGGGTAAGTGGTCAGCTCCAGCTCTCCAGGTTCCCACCAACACTGTTTCAAGTCTGATTTCAACCCTGGGTGGCTGTCCCGGGGTGAGGGGTGGCTCTGGCCCAGCCCTAGGCCATTCTTGACTCCCCTCTGCCTCGCAGCCTGTGTGGAGAGGAGCTGCCTGTGGGCAGTGAGGAGGTGGGCCGCGTCACCTTGGGCCAGTACCTCCGGCAGCTAGCACATCACCGGAACTTCCTGTGGTTCGTGGGCATGGACCTGGTGCAGGTATGGGAGCAGTCCCTACACCCAGTGTGACTAGGGTATGTCTCTCTCAAGGGAACAGACTCCTCAAAAGCTAGGAAATCAGTTCTGGGCTTCGTCTGAGGACTGGTGGATGATTTGAGGACAGGACCAAAGTTTGGGTAGTTAGGAGACCTGGATTCTAGCACCATGTGAGCTCCTAACTCCCTGTGTGATTTTAGGCAAGTCTCAGGCTCTTGGGACAGCCACGTCCTCACCTGCAAAGTGAGGATATGAAAAGAGGTGCCCTTTTGGGGACTCTGACAACCTTTTTAAAACACCAAGTGCCACACTTAAAACACATGTAGTATATAAGCTAGCCAAATTTAGAAATAGATTGTTTTTATGTCCTCAAGCTTATTTTACTAGGGTGTATTCAATTAAAAAGAAAAACTTAATTGTTGTAATGACAATTTTGTCATTCCTTCTAACTTTTAGCAAAATTAGATAAGCAACAGGAATTGGTTTTAGGTTTTGTTCTGGAATATTCCATGTTGAGGGACATGGGGATGAAGGCTGCTCTCGTTTGCTTTCGCCCTGTCCCCGGCTCCCCTCCCGCCCCGGCAGCCTCCTCACTGGCCCTGTTGGGTTGCAGGTCTTTCACTGCCATTTCAACAGCAACTTCTTCCCCCTCTTCCTGGAGCATCTGTTGTCAGACCACATCTCCCTCTCCACAGGCTCCTTCCTGTTGGGTGAGTGGGTGCCTTGGGCAGGCTGGAAGGACAGAGGCTTGCACCCCAGAACCCGTAGCCCAGCTGCAGGCACAGCCACTTCCCCAGCTGGGGCCCAGGGGGCAGAGGGCACAATCTGCTGTGGGGTTGCACCTCCAGCCCCCAGCTCTGTTTTCCTTAGGAAGGGGCAGGGCTGTGGGTGTGAGGGGCCAGGGCTGTGATGGTGGTCCTCTTGGTGATGGTGCCACCCAGAGGCGATGTGGCACAGTGGCTGGTGTACAGGGAGGACTAGTGTGACAGGCCAGGGTGTGCGTCCTGACTCTGCTTATTTATTGTATTGGGTTGTCGGAAAAATCATGACGCATTTTTGCAACAAAAAACTTAAAATATGTCATGCCTTTTCCGACAACCCAATATATTTACTATGTGGCATTGGGCGTATGTCATTGAATCTCTTTAGGCCTCCATTTCTCATCCATAAAGTAGGGATAATGACAGTACTTAAAGGGCTGTGAGGTTAACTATGAGGATGCGAGTTAGCTCTTAGCACAGCGCCTGGCAGCTCACTATGCAAACTTTGATTCTGATTGTTAAAATAGGGAGAATCGTGGAAGCTGTGGCAGTGCCCCCTGACAAGGCTGCACCCCTTCTCCCCAGGCATCTCCTATGTCGCTCCCCATCTCAACAACCTCTACTTCCTGCCCCTGTGCCAGCGCTGGGGTGTCTACACCGTGGTGCGGGGGCTCTTCCTGCTTAAGCTGGGCCTGAGCCTGCTCATGCTTGTGGCTGGCCCCGACCGCCCCGGCCTGCTCTGCCTCTTCATTGCCAGGTATGCCCTGCCCTCCCTCACCCCCGCACCTCCGTCCCACCCCTTCACTCTTGCCTGCTCTCTCTCTCTGCTGGCAGCAACCGTGTCTTTACTGAGGGCACCTGTAAGCTGTTGACCTTGGTAGTCACTGACCTGGTGGATGAGGACCTGGTACTGAACCACCGCAAGCAGGCGGCCTCGGCACTCCTCTTTGGCATGGTGGCCCTGGTGACCAAGCCAGGCCAGACCTTCGCCCCACTGCTGGGCACCTGGCTGCTGTGCTTCTACACAGGTGAGGGCCCAGGGGACACAGCTTACCTGGCACACCAGCTGACAAGCCTGGCTCTAGGTCCAGTGAGGGCGAGAGAATGGCATCTGGCCGACACAGGCTGGGTCTGGGCCACCCCGGGCTGCCACACCTCCTCTGTCTCTCCCCATATATGTAGAGGACTGGGTCTCTGATTCTTCTGTTCTTTCAATAGTTCATTCATCGATTCAATAAATGTGTATAGAATACCATCTCTGCCAGGTGCTGCTCTGGGTGCTAGGGGGATAAACAATGAATAAGACAGACAAGGTCCTGGACACCATGGAGCTCATATTCTAGTCAGGGAGGAGGGGTGCTGGTGATAAGCAGCCAAACAAGAAAATAACAGGTAGTGATAAGTGCGATGGGAAAAAGACAGCAGGTCCTCAAATGTTTTATTCAACGTTGTTTTGTTATAGAACATTGATGAGATGCCGTAGGAACTTAACTCTTGTTCATATCAGTTAGCCTATGGTAAAACTGGTTTGTTATATATCATTTTGCTTAGGGTTGCAGAACCTACCGATGGCATTGAGGACTTACTGTGGTGCGACTGAGAAGCTACTTAGTATAGTCTGGGATGGTCTCTCTGAGGTGATACTCAGGATGTGAACTAAATGGGAAGGATTTGGTCTATAAAGAGCCCAGTGAATCCCAGACACAAGGAGTGTCAAATGCAAAGGCCCGAGGTTTCAGGGGTGGTTAGGAGATGAGGCTGGAAAAGCGGTGAGGGCTCTGGAGAGCAGGTCAGGGTTTGGATTTTATTCTCGGTCCAAAGAGAAGCTATTGTAAGCCGAGTAACATGGTCTGATTTACATTTTTAAGAACTGGTTCTGGCTGCTGCATGGAGAATGGATTGTGCAGAGGCTGTGGCAGAGGCAATGGAGGCTTGGACCTGGGAGGTGCTTGAGGGCTGGAAAGAAGTGTTTGGGTTTGGGATGCTTTTAGAGTTGAGGGGAGATGGATTGGCTGTTGGGGCGCACTGAAGTTAAACAAGAAATCTAGGGAGACTTTAGGGTTTTTGGCCCCAGTTGTTGGGTGGATGGTGGTGCTATTTACCGAGAAGGGAGAGACGGGAAGAACGGGAGAAGCAGGGTTGGGGGAGGAATCGAGTTGTGGTTTGGACGTGTACGAGGGGCGTTTGAGATGTGGCACTGGACTTTGGAGGAGCCCAGGGCTGACCCTGTTCTTTC